CCCCAAAACCCCAAAACCCCAAAACCCCAAAACCCCTGCTAAGATCTATGAAATTGAATGATGATTATTGTGAACTTAAATTATTTGAGAACCCTAGAATTTTGGATTTCCATAAAACAACATCGCCCTTATCACCTCCTGTGAGGATATATCTTCCATTTGGAGCAATCTCTATCTGAGTGATTCTTTCATGAGGCGTCTTTACTAGTAACACATTTTCTTCATTCAAGGTGTCTAGAGCACGGAAAGTATTGTTAGCCATTGTTACAAGGAAAAACTTTCCGTTACTAAACATTCGAATATCCTGAGGAGGTTGCTCCAGAGTGATTCTCTTTACTATTTGTCTGAGCTCAAAGTTCCGGAAGAAGATAGTGTTGCTTCACTTGATAAATGAGATATAAAGAGTCATGTCATTAGGTAAGAAGACTCCAGAGCATTCATTTTCTTCCTTCTGAACATTATCTACCTTTTCTCTCTTTTTCACTTGATAATAATGATCCAGAGTTAGGTTTTTAACTTCTGAGTTGCCATTCTTGATATAATCAAGAGCATTGAAGCAGTCCATGAAGTTGTATTTAGGCACATCTACCATATTAAATGCTTCCTGGTTGAGGGCGTTAAAGTTTCTCTTATTGTACATCAAAACTTTCCCTGTCTTCGAGCCCACCAAGAACTTGTTATAAGGTTCGATATATGATAACTCAAAGCTGTGAACTGGGGCGTTGACTCAGGCAAGTGTCTCTATCCGAATTCCTAATGGTTCCCATCTTTCAATGAAGATAAGGATAATCAGGCCCAACGAACTTGCTGCCATGACATGATTTCCAGAGGGCATAATCTTGAGAGAGATGATATAATCATCTTCACTTACAAGACATCTTCCAAGACTGGCATTCTTCTTATCAATCTCGAAGAATCTGATATATCCATCTGTGAACCCAGCAATAACATATGGTTTGAACTGATGAATAGCCAGAGAGGTGCATTTCTCCTTTGGCACAACGAATTGCATCATTTGCTCAGAAGTATGCATGTTCCATAACTTGAGGATGCCATCACTACTGCTTGACATTACATAGTAATTCTTGTCGAACTCGTAGTCGATCTCTTCTCCCTTTTTCTCAGCAACTTCAAACTCGCCAGGAGAGACATACTTGAATACGAATTTGCATAGCTCTGAAGTGTTAGAATGGAAGGAGTTTATCTTAAGAGTTGTCTCCATCTGCCAATCAATATACCAGATAGACCCGCTTGTTGTAGTCACAAATCCTTCAGCAGTAAGTTCATTGAGACAAAATCCTTTAGCAATACCATCGAGTAAGAGAGTGTTCTCTTCGTTCGAGAATAGATTGTAGCTTCTTCTGCTGAGATCGCACTCATTAGGCAATGCCCAGCAAGATATATTATTGTTATCAGCTGAAGCTATTATTATATGGCGCTCCTTAGCTTCTATAGTTTGGATCGATGTCTCTGAAACTTTCACTTGTGATATTAATGAATTGGTTCTTGAGTCAACAGTCCAGATGTACCCATTAGAAAGACCGATGAGCAAGAATACAGTACTTAGAGTCTGCATTGGATAAGCAAACTGAAGGGAAGTAATTTTAGCATCACCTTCTTCATTTCCAAGCAATATTGAATTTAACGACTGGTCTAGATCTCTTGATTTCTCTGGATCAACTTGGAATTTCTTACTTCCCTCTTGATATTGGAAAGAGAGCTCGTCTGTTACTTTCCAGAAGTAATAATTAGTGTTATTCCAAGTGGCAAACTCTAAATTCTTTAAGAAATAATTCCAAGATGCACCTGTAATTTCATAAGGAATATGTGACCTTCAGAGTGGTTCTCAATTTCCATCTAAGAAGTCCCATATTGCTACTACCGAGTTAGGATTATCTTCATCTGTGTCATCAAAGGAAACAGCTAGAATTAGATTACTGTTTGGAGAGAAATCAGCAGACACAATTGTTCTTTGATTGATTGTGATTTCCGCAACTTTCTTAAAAGTACTAGAATCCCAAATATAAATCATAGGCAGGCCATCTATTGTTGCGTTATATGTATAGGCCATTATCAGCTTGCCATTTGGAGATAGTTTCAAATCACTCAATGCGTCATTGCCTTCTTTAAGGAACTTTTGGGTTCTCTCTAGGTTTAGTTTCTCTATGATTACAATTGACTCAAATGTATATCCAATCCATCTATCTTCTTGATGCCAAATAATGTTCTTCTTTTGCCTATAGGAGCTACTGTATGCCAAATTATGAGCCATGGTGATGTCAATCGCCTCATATTTATAGTTCATCAAATTAGTTTGAATAATGGGATCTAATGATTTCTCTGGGTGCTCCTTTGAATAATATTTGAACAAGTCACTCTTCAACTCTTCATGCTTTGTGTCAGTCGCTCTAGCTAAAGTATCAGTTCCTCCTGGGATTAGAGGATTCATTCTATCATGGTTATCCCTTGCAATATCATGCGAATCTTTGTAAGTATATCGTAAATTATCATTAGGGTTAATTTCTGACTTATCAGGAACCTGATAGGGATTCAAGTCCAAAGTTTTAGGTTCTTCTTCCTCCTCGTCAGGTTGTCCAATCTGATGATGACCTGTATTCACTCCATTCCTAAGATTAACATTACTGATTGCCTCTCTAAGTCCTTGGTCTTTGAGCTTCATGGTTCTCAATATTTCAGAAGGTCTTCAATGATTTTTGCTCAAGGTAAGTCCCCCTCTATCAACACGATTTTCTTCACCAGTGATATTTTCATAGTATTTCTCGATCTCTCTATTATCGATATGAGCTGAAGATTCTCCGTTGAATTGCCATTCAAAGATGCCATTGAGCTCACTAATTGAGAAGAGTTTGTCTCCTTTGCTGCTTCCACCCCAGGCTAGCTTCAATGGGTAATTATAGTGTCCAACAAAGGACTGTGAGGCTGGAGTTACTCTATTACCTCTCATAAAATAGTCAAATATCTTGATCAGTCCGTCCTTTCCACAGGTAGCAATGTACTTGTTATTAGGAGAGATTTCAAAGTCTATGCATGAGTGGTCATGCACTCCAGGAATATCTTTGTATTCAGAGATTTCTCCAACTCCGATCCTGAAAAACTTTAGCTTTGAGGTGGTAGTTAGTACAACTAGATCTTTTCCATTTGGGGCGAATCTCAATTTATAGAGTAAGTGTCCTGTCAGGTCTATCTCATAACGGAGAGTGAAATTTATGGTCTCCCATACTGTGACTGTATTAGCATTTGTTGAGATATTTGCCATCAAATTTCCTTCCTTAGAGAAGTCAATAGAGTAGTAGTTGTTGTTAGGGAAATCATAATCAATAGTCTTAATTGGCACAAATTCTTTCTCAACATCGTGGATGACAATCCTTGAGTTTTCACAGATGCTGGCAAGGTATTTACCATCTCCAGAAAATTTGAGATCTTTTATCGCACTTTCAAACACCATGTTCTCATAAACTACTTTGGATATTATTGAGTCGAAGACCCTCACAAAACCTGATTTATATCCAACTGCGAGGAAGGGGTCAAATGGGTGACAACTAACTCTTTCAGGGTAGTCATTATCTGTAATAAATTCATACAACTGTGTCTTAGTGCTCTGGTGCCAGATCTTAACACTCGATTCTTCAGCAGAAGCAGTAACAAGAGTATCCGTACGATTCATGTAATCAAGAGAGCTTATGTTTTCTGTATGAGAGCGCATTATTGTAGTGTATTGTTGTTCGTCAATTTCGTACACACTGAGAGACCCAGTTGTTGTAAAAGTAGCCAACTTTTTGGAGTAAAGGTCAAGACTAATGCTTATCATAGGGATATTCGTCTTCAATTCAGAGATGCACTGAGAAAAATCTGTAGTAAATAGTCTAATCATTCCATCAAGAGAGCTTGAAATAGAATACCTTCTGTCATTTGTCATTAACAAGCCTGTGATAGAATCTTCATGAATTTTAATAACTTGGTCAATCTCTTTTGAAGAGTAATTGATCTGGAATAAATGGCCTCATTTAGTTCCCACATAGATCATATAAACCTTACCAAGGGGTTTATCTTTTGTAGGTTTTCTAGCAAAAGTATCTTCATTATCATCATATACTTCATAGTCATAAAGAATCTGGGTGAATTCCTTTCCTCTGCCAAGTTTATTATGGATCACATTTGTCCCAGTAATAGAGCCTTTTATTTTCCAAAACCTGATGCTTTCCTTACCTCCTGTGATGAACATGAGGTCGTTTATTGGGTGGTTCTGGACAGCCTGGATGTTCCAATCACTCAATTGTCTTGTAATCAGGTCAATTTTATTGTACTTCACCATATCTGGGAAGTTATATGCTAGGATTATATCTCTGCCTTGATAATCAGTTCCTATAAGGACAAGATATGTGTTCTTAAAGGAGACATACATGCTACAGATCTCCTCAATTGGTGGCTTGAAACTCACAATGTTGGCACCAGTGTGTACATCCCATACAATGATTTGGATTTCTTGGTCTTGAACCAACTTATTAAATTTCTTTTTCTTCTTTTTCTCGTTATTTCCTTTGCCAGGCTTTGAAGCAGAGATGATAAATTCTGAGGTCATTGCGATCTTCCTGACGTGATCAGGATGATCAAACAGGAACTTCTGTTTCATAGATTTGGTGTTCATTGAAACAACCATGTTGGCACTTCCATATAAGACATCATTTCCATATCTCATATTTTTATGGAAAAGTATTGATTGAGAATTGTATTTTGGATGAGACCCTACGCATTGACTCAACCTCATGATTGGGTCAGGCTTCAACAGAAACACATCCTTAGGATCAGCACTTCCATGAGGATCTGGATGTCTTTGTACCATAAATTTATCATTATTTTTCACAGAAAAATCCGCTTCAGAAGGCTTGCCATGAAGATCGATTTCATATTGTCTCTTGATCTCTTCGATTTCGGTTTTCGTACGCTCGAAGAGTGAGGAGTTATCTCTAACCCTCTCTAGCTCAGCTGTAATAGCAAGATGATCTTTATTCTCATGATCTTGGTGCATCTGTTTGAGTGACTTTCTCTCTTCCCGGAGGTTTGAAATATCCTTAATATTCTCTTGGTCATCAAGCAAGTCTTCATCTTTTGTGGGTTCATCTTTCTCCAGCTCAAAAACAACTCTCTTTTTAGATCTTTCCCTTGTATCCTTCATCTTTGGGTCCTTAGTTGTATTTCTAAGCACAGATTTCGGCCTTTTTGGCTTTGGGACCTTCTTTGGCGGTTTTCTTTCTTGAGGCTCTTCCTCCTCACTTTTACCTATATTGACCCAGCCATAGAGTTTGAACCAATCCTCACTAGCTTTACACTTAAGCGATAATTCCTTCGGGAAGTTAGTCACATTATAATCAATATCAGAGGTGATAATCCCTCTAATGAATTGATTCGAGCAAATCTGAAATGATCTGAGGTAAAACTCCTTCTCTTTAGCACTCTTGTTGAATTTGCCATTTTCCTCCAAAATGTTGAAGATATTCAGCTGGATGATAGTCCATTTCTGGGCTTCCATCTCTTTTACAGGAATTTGGATACTACTTCCCGATGCTTTGAAGTCCTTGAATATATTTGATATAGAGACTCTGCACAGATTATCTCCATTAACAATGAAGTCAAGATGGGTTGAGAATAATTTCCCAGTCTGGGCCTTCATTATCACATAATTATACCTCCCTGTTAGTCCAAGGGACTTGTATTTAGCCTTCTTGCTAGGAGTCATTACATAGTTAGACGCCGAAGTTGCTCCTTGGATTTTATAAATCTTCTTGCCGAGTTTCTTATCAATAGACTGTGTGACATCTCCCTCTTTAGCTACCTGAGATGCCTCAAATAGTTTAAATTTCTGGAAGACATCAACATAAGGATGTTGATAGATTGGCGGTAAGACTTTCTCCATTCTTTAAATTTAAATTTATCAACTTATAATATATATTATGGGGTTTTGGGGTTTTGGGGTTTTGGGGTTTTGGGG